AATCAGTCCCTTGCCGGCTGATTCCTGACTTTTCTGGCTAAATATTAAACTGAAGCCATTATATTTGGCTGCAGGTAATGAACAGTTTAGCAGGCATTTATGAAGGACAAGTTGGTTCTTCCAACCTAATTCTGCATTAAATTAATAACCACTCTCTTTCCCCTTTTTTTCTTCCCTGGCTTTCCAAATGAGACAGAATAACTGTCTTCTCTGTGAGCCAGTGAGGGCATCATAGCCATGCAGTTTATAAGGGGACCAGGAATACAGATAACAACAAAACCCAGACCGGATGGTTTCTGTGGCAATTACTCAAGTGTGAATTAATTCAGAATGAAGTGTAGTGCAAACATGGGGAAGAGTTAAAAACACAGTGCGCACCAACCCCCTGAAACTCTTGTAGACAAGAAATGGGATTTTTTTATTCTAAAAAAGCTCCATTTGCTCCTTCTCCCTCCACTGGCCCCAGGTTCCCCCAAACACAGTGCTTTTGCTGCAGGAGAAAACCAGAAAGGGAAACTTTGATTTTGCATCTGAAGTTCAAAGAAATGCAAAAAGAGTGAAGATCCATCACATTTGATTACCCTTACAAGTTCTTGCTTTGGTAAACTAAGATTATTACTGACTACCGTTAAGGAGCACATGGCAAAGCTGTGCTGGCATGGCACTGCACCGTGACGGCAGCTGAGGATCTGGGGACCCGCCTACATGGGGAAGTTGCCCTACAGCAAACACTTAGCTGCTCTGCAACAACTTTGAGCTCACTGGGCTCTGAAAGGCACTAACGCTGGTTTGGCATGTGTTGGGAAGGTCCACCCACAGAGTCAGTAAAGACCAGCTAAGGGTGCTGTGAAGTTCATGTCCTCTTCCCTCCCACTGACCACCCGTGCAGGGAAGCCCCGGGGCACCCTCCAGGTCAGCATCTCTCAGAGGCCTTCTCAGATGAAAGAAGGCTAGAGGACACGCAGCTGAAAGCCTGCCTCGTCGTGCCCAGGGATTTAAGCAATTATGGCGGTGGTGTAGCATCATTACCAGGCAGTCGCTCTCCCGAGGCCCCGTGCACCCTGCAGCACACTGGTTGTGGCAGCAGTCACTGGGCACCTTTCCCCTGCACCGGCCAGAGCACTGCTGGGCACAGATGACCTTTGTTACTGGAAGACACAAGAAAAAAGGAAAAACATGAGGAATGAAGAATGCTTAAGCTGTACTTGCTGCAATGAGATCAAGAAATATGGAGAAGAGGTCTGGTGCAGGATCTGTGCTAGATTTTCCCCGTGAGATGTGTATTCTGTCCTCATATGAGGCCAAAGCTCGGGATGGGTGAGAGCTGGTGCAGGTAGGGGCAAGAAGGGGTTGTGCTCAGCCTGTAATTATCTTGGCTCTTGTGAGGTGCTAAGCACTCTGGTCCCACCCAGCAAACCATGTCCTGCCTAGAAAGAGCATCCAGGTCCCTGTCCCCCACCAAGAAAAACTCCGTGGAGTCATTGCATGTTACAGCTAGGCAATAGAGCAGGATCTGGCTCCATTTTGTTGAGAAAATCTGCTATTATTGGTGCTAGCTTTGGGAAAAACAACACGGCAGGAGAACTGCCAGGACTCTGTACTATCATGGGAAATGGTACATTGTTGGTGTGGTGTTAGGATCGCTTCAATGCCCTAAAAATATTTCTGAAATTTGCAGAGAGAGGGGAGACCCACTCAGCAAACCAATTTCATATGCATATTGTATTATTTTTCTTTAAGATTCATTCCTTGGCCAAATTTTATCTTCATTACTCAACTCCCACAGGATTTGCACCAGTGCAGCAACCCAGAGGAAGAACTGGCCCTGATTCAGCTTTTTGCAGGGAAGCAAAAACTGCCTGCAACATTTTGTTGAGAATCAGGAAATCGTCCCCATTTGAATAACAAAGCAAAGAAAACGATAATCAGAACATTAAAAAAAACCCAGAAATTAATGGCTAGCATGTATTTGTACCAGAGACCCAAAACGGGACTGTTTGTTCTCGACAAAAAAATTACTGATCCGCAGACCCTGGCATCAGACGTCAGAGAAAGCTGATGGCTAATCCACTGCATTACAGCACCCTGAGCATTTCGGCTGTGCACTACAGTAACTGCTATCAACTTTGCAGTTGGCACAAATGAGTTACAATATCATCAGGAATTCCTGTAAGTCTGAAACAGATGGTTGTTAATTAACAGAAAATTATTGGAAAATTAGCCTGCTACAGGGTATATAACAGTGATTTTTTTTTGAAATCATATTTCCTATCATTTTCTATTACACACTTTTGTATCCAAACTGTATTATTTCATTTTTCTTGTAGGCCTGTAAGCAAGATATTGTATTTTCAAGGAAACAGATTAGTTCCACAATATGCATTAGCTTCTCTGATAGCAACTCCTCCATTCAACTAGAAACAGGGGAATAAAAGGCACATTGTTCTACACGAGCAGCATTTTGATATCTTTTTTTCATAAGCATCAGCAGGGGAGTTAAACAGCTCGTCACTTTGATAGCTATTGACTAGAACTTCCTGCTGGAAACATACATCACGGCAAACATTTATATTTCATACAGAATATCTCACGTTCGCTGAAGGAGAAAGATATGCATCACCCCAAACTTTCCCACATATGGAAATGTGGGATACATTTTCAGTTGGCCAGATTCTCAAATGCCTCGAGAGGAGAGCCAGAGCCTGCAAACGGTTTTGTTTTATGCGCTCCTAGTCATCCTCCTGAAGCCAGCAAGAGTTTGTAAATGCTGGAAGCTTGCAGGGCTGAGACCTGAGGTGTCACAAGCCCCCAGGACAGCTGTGCTGTCTCAGCTGCTGGGATCGACCTGGAAAGGGCTTTGTGTGCACAGCCACTGTCCACCTCAACAGCAGTTCAAGGCATGTGCCAAACTGCAGAACTGACTGAAAAAAACCCTAAGGCTTATACTAAATGAAGGGAGAGAAGCTGTATGTTCCTTTTTGCTTAAGCTCTAGAAGCTGCACAGATTTGGCCTGATACTTGCAAGCAAGAAACAGGTTTAGGTGATCATTGGCAATGGAAAACTGAAGATAGGTTGTTGCTTTCACTTGCATTATGTATAGATCAGCAGTCTTTCCACTGAACTTTCACAAAACCATCAGGAAAGAAGAATCAGAAATAGTGCATTTCCCTACTTCTTCCAGAAAAAGGAAATAATGAAGTATCAAAACAAAGTGAGATGGGCTTCCTCCTCAGCCTTTACTTTAAGACAAATGAAGCCTTGCAAAATCTCAAGCACTTCTAAACGGATGTTTCTGTAACTCTCTTAATATTAGGCAAGCATCCTACCTGCAATATTTTACAGTAAAGCACAGGCAACCAAACTGAACAACCTCACAATACCAAATATCTCTATTTACAAATTAAAAATGGCTATGTATTTTCTGAGTGCCTTCCAAAGGTCCTCTGAGTACAGTATGTAGTGTGATTACCCACATGAAGGTGACTGACACCTTTTGTGTTTACAAAAGAAATCCACCGGGATTACAAAAAGAGGAATTAAAGCCAGCAAAAATCAGGTTATGTTGTTGCTTCTAATAGTAGAAATGAATCCAAAGTATCATCAACTAGCCTGCAGAATGGCTCTGCAGGCAACAGCAGGAAGGCAAACAATTCACCACGCAGCTACTGCATTCTCTCTTACATGGTAAAATAAAGAATAAATGTTCTCAAGTGCAGATGGGAGAAAGTTGTGGGTGACAGGCAAAAGCTTTCAACACGGGAGGCAGCTGCAGTCTCTTCCCTCTGGAGGAACAGCACATTTGCAGGGAAACCCAGACCCAAGTCAAACCACCTTGAGGTTTCCCCTCCAGAAATGGAGCTACCTGGGGTGAGTGGGCATGGCCGTCCTCCCCGCAACTGCGCTTCTGCAGAGCGGGAGGCAGGCCATGTCCCTCCGTGGTGTGCTTCAAGGAGCCCCAGTGCAGCGGCATGCAGAGAAGGATAACTGTGAAACATGTGTCACTAATTTGTGCTTGACAAGTTAGTTTTTCGGTAGATAGAAATTTAGTATGTCAGAGCACACAAGATATTTTTTAATTAATCTGCAGGCTTACATGTCTGGCAGTTCTGTTCGCCAGGGCCCCAGCAGTGGTCTTCTGTGCAGTTCGGATGGCATTTGGGACCTAAAACGCAAGAGCAGAGTATTATACTCTATAAACATGGACAACAACAACATCACGAGTCACAGAAAACAAAGACTTGAGCTTTTCTTCTCGATAAATCAGGGGAGGAAGCACCAATATACCAGTGCTCAAAAATTTTGAGAGCTGGACCTTAAATCCTTATCCTTTGTTCATCTCTGGTTTCCTACGTGCAGTTCTCCACACCTTTGAGCAAGCAAGCACAATACCCACCCAGTCTAGCTTACGAAAGAGGAATATTTTTCCCAGGAACAGGAATCTCAGGTACTGCCTGGCTGGCCCTTGTGCTGGACTTTGCATGCAACGGCAAGTCACCACCAGCTTGCAGCCGGGCATGTGCCAGCTGCTCACTACAGGCCACATGTAAATCAATGTTTCTGAACAATGTAGTTCTAAAAAGAAAAGAAACCCAACTGGATTCACAGGCAACTGCCAGCTACTCTGACCACAAAGTAATTTGACTTGTCTGCTTCACACCCTCCTCCCGCCCACTGCCAAAAATACTCCTCGGCGTAGGACTATGCAGCAGATGGACAATCGACAGAGAGGCAGCAGGATGGACGGACACTTTGCCTGACCTTGAAGGTTCAGTGCTGGGCTCTTCCCCATCCCTCTCTCCTTACTCTTTTCTTTCTTTTTCTTTCACTTAATGACAAGCAAAGTCCCAGAGAAACAACTTATTTTAGATTACAGGATCAGTATTAAACCCATAAATGTCTGTGTAAGCAGATTAATCTGGAATTCACTACATTTAAGAGGCATTTCCTACTAGAGTGATTCTTCCTGCTAACAACACGTGATTCTCTCTCCCCCCCACCGCCCATCAAATAGCTGAACAAATGCCAATACTTGTCCAAGAGTTGATTGATTTGGTGCAGGACCAAAGAACTATTTTTTTTTAAGTTGAAAAGTTAAAGGTTAACATTTCTGCAGTGTTTACAGCCAAACTCCTGTGTTGACTTCTATCATTCGCAGCCCCTTGGTTACAATAGGGCTCCACAGAAAAATATGTCAACACAGAAGTTGGCTATTAGCTCTGAGGCAATTACGCAACTGGATGAAGATAAAGAAAATATGTTTTTCCGCCAGTTTACAGTGCCAGAAATGAAATGCTCAGAATTGAAAATAAACTTTCCTTTCCGTGAAATGACTGGGGATTTTACAAGGGACTTGTAAGGCTGAAAGATTAGGTCAAGCCCACTCAAAGCATATGCTACACAACTTTTAAGTATACACTCTTCTCCTTGCTGATGCAAAGCATCAGATATATCTGTCTGTTTATCATTAATTTTGCAAGGATAATCTGTGCAGCCCAAAACACCGGAGTTTTATGACACTCAGCTTGAGCCTTAGTGCTAAAAAGGCTTCACGTCCCGCAGTAACTCCATGAAGGTACCCATATGGGTCTTCTAGACCAGAGCTTTATATTGTAAACAGAAGATTGTTGGAAAACAAATGGGTGCACATTATTCTGAGCTGTCTTTGAAGAAACACATATGTAGGGTACTGTCTGAAACCAAGAGATGCTTTCCCAAGAACTTTGCTGAGCTATGAGTTAAGGACCTAGCCACCATGAAAAATTACATCTCAGGCCAGTGGCGAAAAAATGAATGGGCTTCCCTTGAACAGGGCTCGATGGCCCTGCACGCAGGAATTGGTGGGCCTGAAAGGTGGGATGTTTGTTCTTCTCTCTGAAATGGGGGAGCACATAGCATTTTTGTAAGTTAATACTCACAAGATGACAGGTTGCTTGCAAATTCAAGCACTGTGAGAGGCTTCTTGTTTGTGTCAATGATGTCATTCCAGAGAACAGTGTCCATGTTGCACAGTTTGGGGTTGTTGCTGATTTTAACACCTCCATTGAGAATTTCTGCCACGGAAGGAAAAAACTGGTAAGTGAAGCAAACTGCCTAAGTCTTCTGTCTCTAATCTAAAGACAGGGAAATAAAACACATGTTTCTTTGCCTCAGTCACACTATGCTGACAGAAAAGGACAATCTGCACGGCACCAGCGCTCCTGATGGTAACACCAGGGTCACACTGACAGGTTCTGGAGGGTTGGCTGCTGTTGGATGCCACTAAGATGCCACTACATGTGGCTTTCTGCCTGGTGCCACCTCCAGAGGCCATTGCACTCAGTGGAGATGGCACTGCTGGTGTGCACAGCCAGGGACCATCAGCCAGAGACTGTGTAAGACCCTAACTCACATATCACCAGCTCCCACTGGAATTTAAGAGAAAATACTGATGTGCATGTGCTAGAATCAAAGAATGCAAAATAACGAGTGGATACCTCTTTGCCATTTTGAGGGACACAAATAAATCTCATGACCCTGTTTATGCTTTGGATTTTCTGGATCTTTCTGCAATGGGAAATTATGAACTTCCTTCATCTTTTGAAGAAGGCTGGCTAGCAGGAAAGCAATTAGAAAACTGGGAAACTAGATTCAGATCCTTGTTTTTAAAGCAGGATTTGATAGAGTATGACTTTGAGAGGAGATCTTCAATCGGATCTTGACACCAATAACCTAACAGTTGACGTTTGCTTTACAGGTGCCTTCACCTCTTGCCCTTGTCTCACCTGATAGCCGTTTCATTGGCAGCTCTCGGAGTCCCTGGGTTTTATTCATGTGGTAATTCGACAAAACTGCCAGGGCATAAGAGTTGTCATACAGCACGTTGCCTCGGATGATCTGGAGGTTTTCTAGGGGAATGACATCCACCATGTTAAGCGCAATGAGCACGTAGCCTGCAACCTCCTGTATCGTCTGTAGGAACAACAGAAGAAACAAGGTGCTTAATCCATAGCAGTCTTCTCAACAGAGTCGCTTTCCTCCTCCCACCCCTCCAATCCACCATCTTTCAATTTTAAGGAACGATAAACCACTTAATCTCATTAAAATATAAATAAATCCAAGAATAAGAAGTGACTATGTGAAAAACTTCGCTGTCTAAGCACGTATAAAATGACACTTAGAGCAGCTACCAGGGGGTCATTCCAAAGGTCCAGCTTACTCCTGTTCTGTCCCCAGGCAAGGGCAAGTGAGGCTGCCTAGGGGATGCAGGAGAACAGGGCAAGCACGTATGATATGACAACCAAGTGTGATGCTTCCCCTGAATATTTGCCCAGCCTCCAACCATTGGCAGCACAGAGATGCCATCTGATTGAGGCTTTTACACTCCCTCTTCTGTGCCCTTTCCCTTGCGGATCCTCCAATGCTCAGCAGAGGGGAAGATTAGGTAACCTTCTCCCTCTTAAGTAATAAATAGTTACAGGACAACAAGAGTGAGGCACTGTCCCTAGATATAGGTTAATTCCTGCCTTGTACTGTGAAATGTATGGATTTCTATCTTCTACAAAAACCACCACAAATGAAAAACCCTCAGGCTACCACTCAGGATATTTTCCTACTCTATGAAGGCCACCAGTGAGTTTTCAAGAGATCTGTTATGTTCCTGGGAACACTGAGCTCCATGGTCAAGTTTTGCTTGGGAAAGAAAAATGGCAATACCATCATATTTGTAACCCATATGACTGAACCATCTCTTTTCTGATGTTCTTGCTTGTTACTGTAATGAATTGTTTTTTTCCTTTTCTTTGTTCCCTGAGAAGAAAAGCTCACACAAAGAGATTACTCCTCTCAAACCAGAGGACTGACCTGTTTATTTGAAGCTTCCATATGAGAGCTCTTGATACCAGGCATACACATATCATGTCAAAAAAACTTCTTCCTCTCCTGCCTCTTTGAAAACCTCCTAATCTGATAACCAGGCATGTGAAAAGCAATGCATTTAAAACATCTTCTTTTAAAAAAAAATATAACCTAAGGTGTGATGCTATTGCTGCTGGCAGCAGCCTGGCAGCGGGGCAGCAGAGCTGTACCCCTTGCCCAGTCTCTGCTCGTGGAGAATCTGGAGGTCCCCATGGCAGACAGTGCTCCTCCCGATGCTGTGGCTGTGTTTTAACATCCATCCCCTGTCTGTTCCCCTCTCAGCTTGCCATGGTCACTCATGCACTTGAGCACAAAACAAATGTTGAGCTGGGAGTAGCCTTTGTGTCAACCGCAGAGGATTGTCTTGAAGATCGCTTGGAGCATCCATGTGGGAAGTTATTGCACAGGACCTGCCTGCTGCTTGGGGTGTGGGGGCTGCAGGCTGGAGAGGCACTCATCACCATGGCAGGGGAAGGTGTCACAGCTTGGAGGGCAGCATAAGGGCCTTCACACTTCAAACTCTGCCATCAGTGGGTTGCCATTCACTTTGCGATTTGCTTTGCCCAACAGCACCACAAAGCCTTTTGACCTCTACGGGGTGAGGCAATGGGTAAGGATGTAATAAAATTTATAAATAAGAAGAAACCCATCTGCATGGCAGCCAGCACAGGTTGGCAGGTACTTGAAAAGCTATTTCTCAAAGTACATGATTTAGTATATAGTAGGGTTGAGCGTATTCTGCAGCCTACAGGTATGCTGAGACTGTGACCTGCAATTTCTCTGACATTAGCTAGCTATGGTTTTGGATCACCACAGAATTTTATAGATAGCTGATCCTTTGCACTTAAGAAATGCAGTAAGATTCCTTTAGCAGTGAAGGCCACATTGGCCAAGAGCACTAACCTTCAGGAAAGAGAGGTCACGATTGTGCTCCACATATGTAATCTCCAGGTTGCTCAGTACCACCTCACAGTTGTTGTACATCCTCTGCAGGCTGGTGAAATGGTCTTCCACATGTCCCAGTTGGGTCAGCTTGTTATTTGTCCCTTGACAAACTGTGGAGGAAAGAATAAAGCTCCATGAAGGAAAGCAAGAATAAGTACAGGGTAAAGACTTGTAGCCCACCTATCTTTACAATCACCACAGTAAGCACAGCATCAGCACAGATTCATAAGAAACAAGAATGTTATCTTGCTTAACCCTAATGGCAATAGTGTAGGGAGCAGGTGACATTTCCCAGGCACAGACATGTACCAGAATTAAGAGCTGGAATAACCCTCCATCACTCTCTGTTAAATAAAAAACTCCAAGATGAGGCTTTCGTACATAAGTAGCACTAAGTTTTCTGTACCACAAACATAACTCGGGTCCTGAGGAGAGGACATTGATACAGTGTCATCAAGCACTATTGAAAGTGGTATGCTGCCAGGTATCACCAAAGGTGATTTCCCTGAGGATCCATTTACAATACTTTGGGGGGCACTGGGTCTCCTTGTCAGTGGGAGGGAGCGGGGGTTTCCTGCAGGACCCCTCAACCTACAAGTCCGGGTTTTAAGAGCAAACTGAACCTCCAGGGCTCACACATCTCTCGCCACTCTGACACATGGGAGGATTGGAGATTCAGGAGATTTCCTCGCATGTTCAGCTTTGGCACACAAATCCACCTTAAGCCTGCTTTGCTGGTGGGGAAGGAAGCGGTGCCATACAGAGCACCACTGACATTACAAACATTTATAATGGCATGGTGGAAAAACTAGTCCCCCCCTCAAATTCTATTACTCAGCTTTACCAAACCTAGAGGAACTGTCAAATTATCACCACTATATTCAACTGCAATAAAAGAACAAAATGCAAACTGCTTTAAAGAAAAAAAACCACCACACACAAGCCTCAGAAACTCTGTACTTTTCCAGTTATTCCCTGGGGTATCTCTACATAGCTAAAATGAAAACTTCTCTGAGTTATGCCAATACAGAGGAAAGGAGAATGATACAAAAGGCAATGTGGCAAAAGACTTCAAAACACCTTCCAGGTGGAAAGCTTCAGCGCAACTTTGCTCTTCAGTGGGAGCACAAAGAGGCTTTTACCTCATAATCACTGTAATGCAACCTAAGACTAACCTCATAGCTTTCCATAAGACACCAAAAGAATTGCATTTTTTTAACTCAGAGAAAAAAAGAAATGAAATTATACTTTTGTAGAGCAACAATTCCTAGACACACCAGTCACAAACCGGAACACCATTGTGTGGGTGCTATAAAGCAAAAAACAAAGACTCTTGACAAACCTGGAAACAAGTTTCAGAGCTAGTAACATAAGACAACACCTGTTGAAGATTTACCAAACAATTGATGTTTTATTAGTAGGGAAAATAACTTCATAAGCAGTGATAAAACCACACTTATCAATTGTCAAAACCATTCACTGAGCATGTGTTACTTCTCAGTACAATCATCACCATTAAGGAGCTACAGTGATAACAGATTAAATACTCTTTGTCCATGTTTAAAGCAAGGCTATTCACTCACATTCCTCAGTTTTTTCTCATTATACATCTAGATAAACATTATGGTGTTTGGGATCAGACTGGCAACTGCTAGTAAATGGGGACAGTTTAACAAGGGCTGTGATTACCCCATCTAAGCTGCTGTTACTACAGGAACATCAAGTGTACAAAATGACCCTTTTTTACATTTGCCTTGAATTTCTCTAATGGATGAGAAATTCCTAAGCAGAATTTTCTCTTCCAGTTTCAAACTTAACTGTTCCAATGTGCTCGTGATTAAAATCAGCATGTGCATTCTTCCAACAAAGGAAAAAGCCAATAACAAAAGATTCTCAGATGGTTCAAAACCTCAGCTTGGATGCTCAGCTTAGGCATCTCAGATCTGATCCATAAAATGGTGTGATTTTGAAATGTACTGGAATACAATGCAGAAGCAGGTGCAGTTTAGACCGCTTAGAGAAATGAAGACACGTAAGTCAGCCTGTTCTGGTCTTCAGGGTCCACAAATGGCCTCATGGTCTCACTGTACCCCCGTTGTTAAGAGCAAGATCTGCCCCGGTACTTGAGACAGGCCCTGTGCAAAAGCTGCAGTGCTTATGCTACATCTGAATCAAAGGAAGGGTGGAAGGAGGAGCCTTCTGTGGCGGCATCCTCCTAGCCACCCATACCCACCATCGACCCAACATGGTTTGGCACTGGTGGGATTGCACAGTCCAGCTCACTGAAACAAGCCCTAGGAGAAACTGCACACACTTGAAATTGTTTCCCATGGGTTTGGACAAGTGCTGGAGCTCTAGACTTGGCTCAGCCATCCCGAGAAACACAGACTTTTACACTGCTTTCTAGGTCAAGGCCAATGCAGCAGGTGGAAAGTGTGGTTACTCTTGCACTTCTCCCTCTCCCTCTCCCTCTCCCTCTCCCATGGGGCTGCTCAGTGAACCATGCCAAAGAGTTGATCCAAGCTACAAATACTGCAGAACAATAAATAAATAAATGGACAGAGGATATTTTTAGCTCAGGAAAGCTCACTGATTTGGTTCACCATGGCGCCCCATGAACCGCTGCATTGGTGGAAGCAGGTCCGAGGACAGTGAGAAAGCATGATCGAATAGTCAAGAGAAGGAGCTTGCCAGCTGGTGAAGCTGCAGAGGGAAAACCAGACATAAGGAGCTCCAAAGAGGCTTCAGGTTGGTTTTCCAGGACCTACTTTCTTCCCCTGTTCTGTGAGTAGAGAGTGCTTTGATGACTCTCTACCAAAGCTGTCTTAAGCCACATGCAAAACCACTTGACCCCTCCCAGCAGGCTTATCACATCCTCTACGCAGTACACAAAAGATGTGATATTAGTTAAGATCCGGAAAGCAAAAGAAAAAGGGTTGCTTCTGTTAGATATCAACAATATATGGCTAGCATCGGACTACCCTGTAGGAGCTTTCCCCCTCATGCACAATTTTTTGTTTGCTCGAAGAGATACAAGGCCAAATCCTTGTTTGCTGCAAAAGGATCTAAGTACATCCAAAAAGTGAACTTCATCACAGCAGTATTTACCAAATGAGAACCTCAGTCATAAGCAGTGTATGCTGAGCAAATAAAACCCAAATCAAACAAAACAAGCTAAACCCTTGCAGCAGTATTACTGAACTCAGGCAAAGGTGCTGAATAATTTTCCAACTAGAACATTTGGAAATAAAAGAAAATGGCCTGCTTGCATCTGATGAATGCCATTTCTGCAATTTCTTTGCTTACAAAAACCGTGTTCTGAAAACATACATGCTATAATTATCCGTATATAATACTACAGTGTGAATGCCATTCTGGCCAGAGGGAAAAGCACAGACAATGCGGGGCTCGCCTCGCTCCGCAGAGTTTTAAGTGGGACGTGCATGCATGAGTGGGTGGATTATATTATGATTTAACCTCTATTGAGCTTGACCTATTTGCCCTCCAAAGGACAGATTTTGATGCCACATACATTCATTATATACTTTTGTTTCAATGTGTAGCTAAGCCAGCACTATCCAGGTTTAGGATTCAGTGGCGGCTATGGATACTTACATGGTACTGCTGGGGGCTGTGGTAGTATGTACCACATAATATATGTCCCATGTGGACACTTACACATGGCTGCAGCACATTTTCGTTATAAAGGAGAGTAAACAAAAAACAGAGAAGTTTCCTGACGAAAATTCAGGGTGAGAATGTCCCTGACCAGTAGAAAAGCTGAGATCCAGAACTGAACTTCAGGGCATGGGCTGATCCCTGAAAGACGAAAGCTTTGCTCTTATCTGTGATATTAATACAATACAAATAGAACTAGTCTGGAAAGTTTTGACACAGAGAGGATGTCCCAGGAGGCCGCCGTCTGCAGCAGTGCTGAGAGCGGGGCTGCCTGCTGGGAGCATGAGGCTCTCCTGCCCCAGCCCAGGTGACCCGGCGGACCCCCAGAGCCCCAGCCATCACCCCTGTGATGTGGAGGCAACCCAAAAAGTCTGCAGGGCAGCAGCATAGGATTACCACCACAAAGCATTTTATTTCTATATGCTCTTGCTCTTAGCACTAATGCTGCGCTTCCTTAATGCCAAAGTAATACTGATCTTGCATCAATTACGTATTACCTCAACAGACAACCTAAAAAAAGGCAGATATTGCTGAAATGAGCCAAAATGTCAGGTGCTATGTAAGACAGCAGTGATCAAAGAGCTGAAGAAAGAGGCACAGAACTGATAGATGCAAACTTGCTGAATTTTAGTGCTTCTGAAAAGTGCAGGGTTGGCTGCCCTGGATACTAAAATCCTCTCTGTGTCCACAGACAAGTTTGCTCCCCTTCTCTGCCTCAAACTTGACTTTAAAGGAGTAGTTCTCGGTGATGGAAACAGGTCACCCTCTGCAACCCTCTCCTTGGCCTTTTTTCTCTTGTGCAGCCCAAAGAGGTAGAGTGAAACCAAAGCATTTCCTAAATGGCATTTTCCACGAGTGATGGTAGGGAGAGAGAATGCATCCGTCCAGCCGTAATGCTAAGCGACTATATTCTCCCAAATCCATACAAGCTCAGATTAAACAAAGTGGTCTCTGCAGCAATTGCCCTGATACAAATGAAATCTCTTTTCATCTTCTCCCCAGAAAATCTGATTACTGAAGTCTGAATCTTGTCATGCATATTTGTCCCAGACTTGAGAAAAACCCTGGAGAATGCTTTGAAACCAAATTACCACCAATCCCCAAATCATCAGCTGTTTCTGTCCATGCTTAGCCTGTGTTAGTCTCCCTGCAGCTCTGACAGACACATCAAAATAATAACTCACAAAGGCAATTTCAGAGACACGCAAGTCCATTTCCATGCTTCATATATCACTTACAACTCTATATGACCTAGCATAATAAATTTATATACTTTTTCTGCATGTGTTCCAGGCATTATTGACAACAATGTAAAACTTGCAGACAAGATATTTGTTTAATCTGCCAGCACATTTATAAATATTCCTCTCTCCTCACACATTGGCAGTAATTTCACTTCTGATTTTTTTTTTGTTATTTCATGGAAGATCAG